ATAGTAATTTATATATAGAACCGCGTCACGTTTCACTATGATCATTCTTCAGTTGACTGGAGAATCATCAATTAAGTTAGCTTTGCGCATCTTGACAATATTCGAGGTAGTTACATTTTTACTCACAAGGTTCACAAGGAGATGTCATTTAAGCTGCAGTGGGGCAAAGAATTTGGTATTATGAAAAAACTCTTAATTAGCAATTTTAACAGAACGATATGATGAATTATATGAAATATATCTTAACTTAGTAAAAGAAATGGAATTAGAAATCCTAACAGAGGATACTCGTGATATAAAAGATGATAATATTGATCAGTTTGCACTTTTAATTAGCAATCCGATTAGTATTCGTTCAAAGGGTTAGAGATGAAAGGATGCAAAAGAAGTACTTATCAATATAAATAAAGTATCAAAAATAAGTAATGCATGTTAAAAGTAAATTGTGTAAGTTCTTTAAAGTAAATTCGAATATATTTTATAATTTTTTTATTTATAATAGGAATCTATAAGAATTTTGCTAGTCAAGAGAAAGTATTTCATCAGTACAGTATTTGTAATCAAGCTAGGTTCAATGTTTAAATATGTAATTTTTATATTTCAAATAATTAGATGGTTAGTACAAGTAATGAAGGTTATGATAATCAAAATAATCAATTATTATCAAATACAAGGCATAATATTAAAACTTCTGATTCGGCAAATATGAGTAAAGAAGTTTATATTATCAAGTAGAATAGTAATATTGATACTAATCATTAGGTATTGTAGTCGAATATACTCATCATGAAAATAGGTCTCAGTATTGTGGAGCTTGTGGTCAAATAGGTCACAATGCTTGTATATGTAACTTGAAAAATTCAGTTTAGAAGAACTATATATAACTATCATGAAAATATTGATCGATCACCATTACTAATTATAGATAATAATGTTGGAGGTTAAAATTTATTGAGTACAGGTGGGTTAAGATTTATTTGGCTATTATAGTTGATTAATAATACTAATTGCTGAATTTTATATATTGTAGTAAATAAAGATCATATTAATAAGATTCGCTGCTATAATACTTGTGGACAAGTAGGGCATAATGCTCATACATATGTCTCTAAAAGTAGCTCGTAAGTATGGGTTGGGTTACATACTCAAATGCTATGTTGTTGAATTTATAATTATTACAAGTTGTGTCTATTTGTTTTCACTCCTATTATATATCAATATGTTTGTATAATGTTTGCTCATATATATATTTATTGTATGTTCTAGGATTTGAAAACGGTTTTATATATTAACCTGGTTCTAATAAAACTGATTCTAAATTCTAATATGTTTATTGTATAATGTTTGTATGTTACATCATCTTTGCAATATAATGTTTGTCCTATATATATATATAGAATATATATATATTTATTTTGTAATATCGGTATAAAGATTAATGCTAATAAATATAAGATCGAACCAAGTGTATAACAAAATGTAGTATTTTTTTAAAAATTTGATAAATGTGATATTAATTGAAAAAATTCATTTTGGAGTACAACATAAATAAATGACAATTTATGGTGTTTAGCACCTATGGTGTTTAATACCTATAGCAGGGATGTACATTTTGACTGTCCAAAGGCTTTTTTGGTACTGTCCAACGTCCAAATATTCAAGTGTCCAAAAGTGTCTAGAGTATACTTAAGCTTTAATAATTAATAAATTTGTTTAAAATATATATAACTATA